CTGTTTTTGTATCTTACACATAAAATACTTTCTTGTTCATGAAGTCAATTTCCTTATGTAGGCATTGAAGGCTATTATCCTGCTTTGTTGATTCTCTCTCCTCAATATATCCATACCGGGTATGTGCCTTTTTAGGGATCTAATATCCTGGTTCTTTCTTAACATTTAATTCAGCAAAATTAGACAACAGAATTAATCTGTTTAAACAATAATTAGCTACATCACTTATATATGCTTCAATATAAATAATCAAAGAGCAATTTACAAGAATACTGGTGATTTTAAAGTATTTTTAAATGTATACTGATGCTTTGAAGCATATGTCTTGTAAGTCAATTTATCTCTGAAGCACATAGGTGTGGAAAATCATAACAGCAAAGTGATAAATATTGACTATAAAAATCTTCACATGTGGTACTTTATTCAACAAGTACAGATGAATAAATGTGATATGTTGGTGAATTTAAAGTATTTTTATGTATATTGATGCTTTGTAGTGTCTCATAAGTCATGTGTAATTTCAATATTATGTTAAACGTAGATCAATATGTGACACTAAAATAAAACAAAAAAATATTATAGTTATTATACATTAATATTGTGAAAACTTTTCACTAACAGGAACACATATGTAATGGTAATACACATGCATTAGTAGTGCAGACAAAATACATGTTTGCACAATATGTCTGTTGTTAAATGACAAGACACATAAATACTTAAGGTGTGTTAATAAACCATTGTTCTTCTAGGAGTGGATCCATCTGGGTACCTACATACCACAGCCATAATCACAACCAGATGTTGAGGCTGAGCTCCTGTCTACAAAACTGTTAGCTTCTCTATATATCTACAATGTCAGGTACTACATAACATGATAGTCATATTAATAATGAGCTGGTAGATTAACATTATATAAAATGCTGACCTACAAGTTACTATGTGAAAAAATCAACAGACATTTAATTCAATACAGAAGTTTGGTACAAATAATAAGAATACATAATTCATTAACAAATAATATATACAGGCACTTCACTGTGATCAGCAGCAAAAGAATTTACGGTATATTTAATACTAAAAATAATTCATATTCTTGAAGATAATGAGCAAATTAGTTAAAATCTGACATCGATGATATCAGGAAATGATGAATCACACAGAAAAGTTGCCAACACTTCTTTGTAAAGCAACTGTAATCTCATAATTATGATAATGTTATAATACATTTATTGTCTGATGAAAAAATGAAAAAAGGAATAATAGTCTAGACAATTGATGCAGCATTTGGCTTCTGACATATAACATTAAAGCCCCAATATACGTAACGTTCACCAAAAATTTAGTGTAGAATCACACATAATTATTGAGATATTCTCTAAGATTTAGTTAAAATTAAGTTTTCAAACAATAGTTACCATGAATTTGTGCATAAAGTATTGATATATCAGCAGATGAAACTTGCTATTTGTAAACACACCCCCATTTTAAACACGCCGCCATCAAAATTACGCTTGTTGCCGAACCACATCGGAAAGTTCATGACCTGATCTCGAGAGAGTTGAGGTTTCTACTTATAGAGGAAGCACATGCAGATATGTCTACGGTAAGTTTTTGTTTACAAACATTGTTTGCGAAGACTTGAGGTATTCCTGTGATAAACATTAAGTTTTTGGGAAATTATTAGAAGGAATTAATAGTTTAGAAACGATACAATGCACAATTATAACGTAATAATTCAGAATTGGCCAGATGTATGATTGGAAAAAAAGGAAGCGACTGGTGAACGTCTGTACCGTGTCTGCCATGTTTACACACGCGGAATATGCGCATGCGCAATGTCATCGCTATGAGCGGTAATGTATGAATTATTGTGGGTCCCACATTGTTTATTTTCCGATTTTTTCCATTTTTATTTAAATTGAAAACAGTCAGTTTTATTTCCTTTAATTAAAGGAAAGTATCTGTTTTGTTACATATATTACGGGGAAAATAAGATAAAGTTTTTTTTTATAGTGAATTTTACGTATATTGGGGCTTTAAAGACCTTTAGATTCAGAAGAAAAAAGAAAGAAGTGAATAAAGACACCAGGACACACATACACAAAAGTTGTTAAGACAGCACTACCATGTCTAAGATGGTCTTAAATTATCTACCTCAGAACCTTTTTGTTTTACTTCATATAGTTACATGCATGTAAATCCTAGAATTTGTTTTCTAATTCAATCAACCTGTTTCTCCTGTCAACATCTGTTAACATTGACCTTAATTTAAACAAGACATTTGAGTTTCCACTTTGCATAAAAGTGTAGGTCATTTTCCTGACCAAGAACCACTTTGAAAAGGCCAGGAGAAGAAAGTCACTATATAACTTAATAAGCAATTAAAATGAGATTGCTGTCAGGGCTTTTTCTAGGGGTTCTAGGGGTGCTAAATATTCCAAAATTCCAAAAATATATAGTTAACTCCTGAAAATTTCATTTTCCAGCAGATAAATATTCTTGCCAAAATTAGATAAAATGGCCCTTTATCAAATGAGAGGAAAATTCCGTCCTCTAGGGTTCTGATAGTAGTGTATTTGCTAGAGCAAAGTAGATTTAAGCTTCACAGGAAAAAAATAAATCTATCATGATTATAAATGGTAAACATGAATATCTTAGTGTTTTATTATTTTTTGACAAGATGAAATTTTCATTTATAGTTTTTTTGTGGCAAATTAAAATCCATGTTATGAAAAAGTCCTGGATACAATATTAAGTTAATTAGAGCACCAAATTTCTACTCTAATACAACTATAGTGACATGCCAAAAGTATTCGGTAACAATGCAGCATGTTTACATTTAGACATAAATATGACTGATATAAAATGTCACAGAAAGGGAAATTAATAACTCAATTGTAACAAAATAACGCAACTACCTTTAGTATTTTGTGAGATGTCCTTTAAACCTGATCATGTTAAAAACCTGCCTAAGGATCAAATTATATAAGCTGTGGATATAGGCAGGTGTAATCTCCATCCATTTTTTTTGTATTTCCCGGAACAAGTCTTCTGTCAATTTTACAAATGTTACTCAGGACTGGAGATTTATTTTGACGTACAACCAAACATTTTCAATTATATTTATATCTGGAAATTGTGCAGGTCAACTCATGCAGTTGATTAAATTCTGGGTAATATATTCCTGGGTGGACCTTGCACAATGTACGGGAACACTATTGTCTTGGAAAAATAACCACCTGTGGCAGAATGCTTTGTAATTACAGGCCAGAGATGTCCTCAAAGTCTTCTTGACATGTGGAATATTTCCATCGATACAAGTCAAGTGTCCTCACACTATTACAGCAAATGCAGCCACAAATAATCACTTCATATTTGTTGTGCATCAAGTGTGGCTGGACGAGATCAGGTTTTCATCTTTCATCTCGTTTTCTCCTGACATAAGCACAGTGGTCCTGACCAATAACATCCGATAATATAAACCTTTTTCAGTTGTCTAAAGTCCATTTTCTCTTGGCACCAAGCAAGTCACTTCACCTGATTCAGTTATCTAGCTCTTGTTTTTTTTAGAAATATGTCTATTGTTTGTGCAGATGGCAATGAATAGTTCGTTTTGAAATAGGAATATATCTTTCTTCATTAAATCTAGTTGTAATATCACTCAACAAATGCGTTCTATTTTTTTTTACACTTAGCACCATACTTATATTTCAGCGAGAATCTGTTTTGAAATAGCTGTATGATCATATTTTCTATCCCTTCTTGTCTTCGTAGCATTTTGGGGAAAAGCAGACGACAGCAAAAATATAACGTCACAAAACGTCATGTGACTAAGAAAGCTTAAAACAGCATGCACCGTCATCAGTGATGCAGAAAATGAAGGCCAACGCAATTTAACATACAGTCGTGAAAGAGAATGAAAACATGCCACCATTGTGATTGAATACTTGTCACTGTACATTCTGCAAGCTCATTTAGCAGCATATTTTTAAATCCTGTATCTAATTACTGTACTTGCAGAATTGTCAGGTAAAAGATGAAACATGCATTTGAGAATGTTCTTAACTTTACGCTTTTAAGTAATATTGAACCCATTTTCTTTTCCATAGGTTTATTATATTTATCCTTTTATTATTAATGGAAAAAGGCATGACAGTCTTACTAGTGCCATTTCATATCCTACCATGCCTAGTTAATTTTCTATCCGGAGTGAATCTTCATATTAAATTATATCTATCAAGATGTGGAGAAGCAAGACAGGCTTAGTATTAAGTTCCAGACAATTGAAGCCATTTAGGACCAAAACAGAGCCTTAAAAAAGGAATATATCAAATGAAACTGAATGGTTGAAACTCTTCAAACTTCACAACAAACACACTTGATGGGAAGAATATATCTGATGGTAGAGGTCTAAAGCATGTAATAATCATGTATATAATCAAATTCATCGGTCTGTCAGAGCAAGTAAGCAGCAAATTGTCTGATGGTAAATATTAGACAACATGCATGACAAACAGGAAGATCTTCTCATTGTAAGTTAAGTTATAACCATGTGGGGTAGGGGAATGGTAAATACATTTTCTCTTTATATAGTCACTTTTCACATTTTATCTACTTGCTGATATAATTATAAAAGAGTAAATTGTTGATCAGCACCATACATAGCTTAGGAAAGTAAAACACGCCCTATGTATGACCATCACTGTAGTGTTAAATGAGTGAAATACGGGTATATTGTCAGATTGTTTACATTCAATGGCGCGAGAAACAAGGGTATAAAAGGTCTGTTTGTTAAATTTCTGATAGATATTGACAAACAGGTCAGCTATTAAAAACAACTTTAATTTTGAAAAATTTGTAAGAACGACATGCTATCTAATTTACCAAAACTTATAAACATGTGTATTATAATTCACGAACTGGGGATCGCTAAGCAGATGCTGCTCTCTACTTCTAAGTCATTCTCTCGTCAGGTCGAAAGTCTCGTTTACACTTACCCGCTGGTTGATCGGCGTAATCCTGCTCCGTCTCTTCACAGAGGGTGATTTAATAACTTTTCGTGTTTTATCCATGGCACATTTTCACAAAAATAAAGACATCCCGACGAATGATTACCCCTCACACCTTCGTCGGCTGTGTCTTCTCGTTTGAATCAGAAACCATGCTACGTCAACTAGACTCTTGTAAGCTACGACACGATTGGTCGATTGGCTGTCATTGACGGACACTTCTTTCTCGTATTTGTAGTTATTTAACTCGCATCTGTTATTTCATCAAAGTGTCACGTGTGTTTTACGATGCCAAACGCATTCCAGTCGACTCCATTCTTCGATATGATAACTAAAATCATGAAAGATTTCACCAATAGCACACCTGTACAAGTTCCTTCCGCTAATCAGAAGTGACCTTTCAAAATAGTTCAGGTCAAACTTTTTGGGGTCAAGGGGCTAAATACAGGGAAACCAACCAATCGATTGATTGTAATTATGTTTTCTAAAGATTTTCATTTTATGGAAAAATGAAAAGTAGGTAGGTTATTGATAACGTAATAATCAATAGATAAGGGTTGTGCAAAAAAATAAGAAAAATGGCGGAAAGCGTAACTTGGAAAACATAATTCTTAGATACTTCCGAGGTACAAGGATATTTTTACTGTCATAAGTAGGCTATCGCGACATTATTACAGGATCACTTCAAATAATAGTTTCTTAAATCTACACATTTCATTTATGGCAACGTTTGTTGTCAGTGGTTGTATTAATATAACCAGAGACGTCTCTGATATAACAATGACATTTGCCAATCGTTCACGCAGAGGAGGATCTGATCATCATTGAAATATGATTACAGGACACTAGTTATACCAGGGACGTCCCTGGTTATACACAATGTGCTTTCTCTCCATTTTTTCGCTTTACTTGAGACTGCACATAAAGCATAAGGTTGTCATAAGTATTTTAATTTAAATATAACTTAAATATAGTTTCTCTTTTTATATACCCCCATACAATCTCAGGACCCGGGAAAACTAATACATTGTATGTACAGTTTAGTTCAGACACCGCTCTGACACAACTGTATATTATTTTCGAATAGCCTTAATAAAAGTTATCATGACTTTGTGGTCATGGTGAAGAGGGATCTACTGCTTTGATAAGGTTGTAAGAGTTATTCCTCTTACGTACTGCTCACATTGTGTACCTTATATTTCAGTGTCCTGTATTTAAGTCCGCGTTGTTAGACACCTCCAAAGAATAACGCCATTCATTATACATTCACTGAACAACAGTCGGGAGGCCCACCGCATCAGTAGCTTGCCCACGGACACAACCACTACAATCAAACCGGTCCGTTTATCAGCTTCTTGTGAAATACAGACAAGAACAAAGAGAGAAAGAAATTTCTTTCTTTGAACGAAAGTATGTTTGCTGTTTGTATGTGTTTTGTTTAGAGTCGGGTAGATGAATACATATATTGTGGCATCTTATCCATACATCCATCCATCACTCTGAACACGTTTTTGGTTTTGAGGCATTGCTACAAATACACATTTTGGTTTTGTTTCAAAAACGTACAATGTGCAGATGTGCGGAATTGATATACATATATATATATATATATCATAAAAAGCTACATCGTTGAATAAAGAAAACAAAGTTAATAATCAGCACTAGATTTACTTTATTTTCCAAAGTGATACACCGTCCCCATCATATCGAATGTATATCACAAATATGTTTTGTATCACCCGTTCATCATTGTGATATCACCTATGCGCGATGCGGTATGTCCTCAATAGCTACATATGGAAATAGTTTCAATAATATCACTTACGAAGATGAAAATGTAAAACGGTATCCCATATGCAGACATTTAAATAAGGTTATGTGACTGTAATTTGTAGACATTCAAAGAGGAAAGAAAGAACAAATAGTAAATGTCACCAGAGGCGTCAACTAGTGGACGCTTGTCTTTGTATTCAGTCTTTGAAGAGAGGAAAATAAGCTACCGCTGTCACTGTTAGCAAACCGTATCAATAAAACTAAATTAAAAACAAATATATAGAATTTTGACCTGTAAATAAATGAGTTATCATCATATCTCCGAACGTTGATTAATATGAACACAGGAAATCATTTTCGTTTTTCTATTACTGTTCATTTTGAACAGACTGGTGATGAACATCTAGAGGAAATAGCCTGGTATAAAAAGATAACATGGTTTGTTTTCAGACTAAGATGTTTCTTTAACGTCTTTGAAGTGAAAGTAGGTTTTGCTGCGTTCCATTGTCATTATAGACAACATATAACTGTAGACCAGTATTGTATATGTATTTTTTGAAATGTTGATTATCTATGTCTGTACAAAGAGAACGATATAAAATGGTAACACTGCTCAACCGGTATTATAAATCATATATTTATATATAGAAACTAAGCTCTAGTTCAACCAATGCAAACAAGTAAGTTTCTTCCCATCTGGTTTCATTCGATACAACTTTCTGAATTTTCAAATGGAAAATTTTAATTTTTCAGAACAAACAACGTACTGTATTTGATTATATTTCTTTTCCCAGTGTGATATGTTTTTTCTTCGGTTTAGTCATCATCTCTCCTTCTTGTCTGTTTCTGAAGTTCCCAGTCGATATTTTATCGTACTTGTCGCTAATTTGAAATTTCTTGGTTCTTGTCGGTAAATAGTAAAACCATTTGTGCATGTAAACGCTTGTAAACCGTGTAAATTAGCAAGCATTTCTCTAACATTGTGCACTTGCATTTTGGTGAAGTAACACGCATTGAAACGACATGGAAACGTTCGTTTGGTCAAAGAGATCTATGTAACAGCGAAATTCTGAGAGCAATGGATATCGACTGTGACTATCTCGACTTTGGGGATGATAGTGACCCATGTGTGGGCTCGGATAGGTAAACTATCACTGCTTTGTTATCCGATATCTTGCTGATGAACTGCTGACAATTGTTTTCGTTAGCCTCATCCATCCCCTCTTTTTCACTATCGAATAGCGCAGTTATTCAGATGATGTTGTTACGTTTTTGTGGTGATCTCAGGATGATTTGCCACCCATGTCTGTTCTGCTGTTTCAAGGTTTACGATGCGTTCACCCTCTACTCACAGTCATAGCCTACAAAATGTATACCCGGTATATTAGATGGAACGTCATACAAACAAAGTAATAGCCATATTGACCTATCTAAAATAACTGTATTCAGCTATATTTTTGACCAGTTAATGATACAAAAATTTAAAACAAATAATATACATATACTCTATGTCCTGAGTAATAGATATAATTACATAATTTCAGATGTGGTTTTGCAATATTTTCATTGAATTTAAAATTTTTGAAAATTAAGCAAAATACAGCTATTTAACATACTAGTATCACTTGTCCCTGATTCATCAACAAATTGTTTTAAGGACTTCAAGTCTTGAACTAGGAGCATGCAAAGTGGATCTCTGACCATTGATTGTGAAAAAGACAAAAAGTAAAAGACAGATAATCAGTACCCTTTGACTACAATCCACACTGTTGTACAATGTACTAATATTAATACCAGGCCTCCTTAACTTGTAGTGTGACAAAATGGTATCATACTGTCATTGTTAGAGTAACATCAATATAACTATACCAATCATGAAGCTTTCTTTACTGGCTCCAAATTTGATATCATGATCACAACTGTCTGCCTATATATATCCTACCAGTATAAAAGTCTTAACATCCATAGCTGCTGGCTTATCAGCCCACAAACTACACATTCTTCAAGAATGATACCACAATTGATTTCCATTGTTATGTCACCATTCTGACCATCATCTTATGTGAGATCTGAATCAGTTGTGATAAGGATTTACTTCATAACTTATCAAATGTTGGGTTTTTGCACTGTATTACAGTTCTTCAGATGAAGGTGGTTTGGATATTGTACTCGATGGTACCCCAGAGTTGAAGAGGAAATTGACAGTTCGCTGCCGTAAGAAACCAGAATTATCAAGTGAGGATGAGTTTGAGAAGGAAATGGATGAGGAGATAAATGATACCATCAAGGCAATGGAAGCAGAAAGAAGTGGGAAAAAGAGGAATTCTGGTACATCTACTAAAGTTACATTTATGTGTATCATGTGCAATCTGAACAATTATCATAGTCTTATTGATTATAAAACAGTCATATTGACTTTAGAAAGGGATAATTGAGCAGTGAGCTCAAACTTAAACTTTATAAACTCCAACTGTTATACATAGCTGGTGTGTGTGAATCTGTCCATTTTACTGCGATTTGTATCAGCTATAAACATATTTGATTGTAGAAATTCATGACACACAGTAAATCACAGTACTGGGGTGCTTCATTTCTTAAACTTCACCTGATTTTGTGGTGATATGTGATTTTGAACCACATTTTACAGTATATTTCCCACTGCAGTTTAATTTGAATAGGAAAGCATATTTACCATTACCATTTACAAGTAGTAACCCTATCTATGTGTGATGCCTGTTTGTAATATGGGAACTAAAGTTATGTGTTTAGTAAGTGACTTGGTACTGAATATAAATACATGTAGTAATAAAATATATATATTTTCTGAGGCAGAATTTCTGACTTTTCTAACAGGAAAGAATGTACAATTGCATGGTCACAGTTCCAAGTCTAGTGTTGATAAAAAACGACCACAGGAGTACTATGATGATGTGTACTTTGACTCGGATGAGGAGGAAATGGTGACACAAGGTATGTGTATAAGGTAGATCATGTGGGACTTTCCACCAAGTAATTTCGATACATATTTCTGCCCACTTATTTTTTTCCCAGAGTGGTGCAATGTCCTTTTCCTGTGATGTTCTGGAACTCAATGTTTTAAATAGAGCTTACACGAAGGTAGATAGATCCTGCTAGTAGATAAGAGCTTACTAGAGACTTGATGTTCAGACATAGACAATGTATCCATAAATTATGTTGACACATATTCTTGCTTTGCATGGTATATATATTTGATAGATGACAGCATTAAAGGAAATATATTTGATAGGTGATGAGCGTGTTAAGAGGAAGAAACCTGTGGTCAGTAATGATGAGTTGTTGTATGATCCTGATATGGATGACCAGGATCAGAAATGGGTGGACAGGAGAAGACGTTACTATCAGCCACTGACAGCTGGTACCAAAGAGGTTCAGCGACGCCTGCCTCAAAGTGATGCGGTGTTGGACTGTCCTGCTTGTATGAGCACTCTCTGTCGGGACTGTCAGAGGTAATAGCAGGAAGTGTTTCTAGAATGTACAATAAATATTAAACAGATGATAGGTAAAAAGTGTGTTAAATAGGTTGTTTTTTTTCATATTTGTAAGTTCTGCATCATTTTGTTGAGATTATGAAAATGTCATATTCTTCATGTTTTACAATATATCAAGTGATATTATTGCTTTCCATAATAAGATAGCTATTTTACTGTTTTCAACACTATGGTGGTCATTTCACTGCGTTGTCTCACCAGAGATGAAAAGTGGCAGAAGTTAGACTTCACTTTTCACATTAATGTTTCACCTTTAAAATATTGCACTTAGATCTGTTGCACAAGATGAATATGTCCATCTTTAATCCAACATAGCTAGGTCACATGGTGGACCCCTCAACACATCCATTATTTACAAAATATTGTTAAGATTTTATGGTTTAGCAGCTCTGAAAATTAGTTATGCTGAGAAGCTAAATTTAAAGTTCTGCATTTAGCTTGATTTCTTGTTGAGTACAAGAGCTTTTCCAATTTAACCTAGGTTAATATAGGTACTCTGTAGTAGGCATGTTTGAACTGAACATTTTTATTACAAGAATTTTATTTTCTATGCTGCCTGAAAGTTTTTGGCGGAGCAGATAGTCACTGCCTTCCATCCTTTCATGCCCAAAGCATAACTTTGCCCACAATGTAGCAAGGATCATGAAATTTGGTGTATACATTAGTCATACAAAGGGGATGTGCGGTGTGCCAAATTCAGGGCCCTCAACCCCTTACTGAGTCACTGCCCTGTGGCAAGCAAACTTTTATGTCTGTAGCATAACTTTGCATGCATATGCAATAGGATAAAAAAAAACTTGGTGTATACATTGATCATACAAAGGCAGTGTGCAGTGTACCAAATTCAAGGCCTTTAATTACAGTTATGGCTCTTTGTTAAAATGTTGTGTCTGAAGTATTACTTTGCATGCATTTAAACTAGGATATTGAAAAGTGGTGTATGCATCAGTCATACTAAAGCAAGGTGCAGTGTAGCAAAGTCAGGACCCATGACCCCTCAGTACAGAGTTATTGCCCTTTGTTAAAATTTTGTCTTGGGAATAGCTTTGCTTGCATTAAAACCAGGAGTATGAAACTTGGTGTATACATTTGTTGTACTAAGATAATGTGCTGCATACCAGACTCAGGGTCTGCAACCCCTTAATTAGAGAATTATTGCCCTTTGGTGAAATTATGTGTCCAATAAATTTGTTTTTGGGGAGCATCCGTCTGTTTCACTGAAATGCTTTTCTGGAGTATTTTTGGGACAAAAACTTCTGATTTATAGAAATGACTACAAAAACATTATGGCTTGTTCTATTCATATAAAGATTTAGTTTGAACCCATATTGACACAAACTGACAAGTTTTCCTCTCCCTCCACCAAAGAGCGATAATTTGGGTTAAAAAATCCATATTTGAAAGAATTTCGAGAAATGAAGAATTTAGTTATATTTCATTACATGTTTTACAAAGCATCAATATTGAAAAAACAAAAAACCAAAACTGGACAGGTGAGACATTTAATCATGCATAATTGAATTGTGATGACTATTTTATTGTGACCTTGATGACTTTTTTACCTTTTTCCCCAGACACACATCCTTTGAAAATCAGTACAGAGCCATGTTTGTGATGAACTGCTCTGTAGACAAATCTGAACTCCTTAAATATCCACAACAGCAACACAAAGTTTCAAAGAAAAAGATGAAAAAAGGAAAAAAGTCCAGTAATGAAGTGACTGATTCAAAGAGTGGAATGGGTGTTACTGGTTCAGAGACTGATACTGGTGTTCCTAGGAGTCAGGAAGCTGTGGTGGAGACAAGCAATGATATGTTTCACCCTGTCAGATGCACAGAGTGTAATACAGTGGTGGCTGTGTACGATCAGGATGAAGTTTATCATTTCTTCAATGTATTGGCTAGCTATACCTAATACAGAGATGTACAGAGTATATCAGGGTGTACAGAGTATGTCAGGGTGTGTTGGAGTGTGTTAGGGTGTACAGAGTATGTCAGGATGTATTGGAGTGTGTCAGGGTGTATTGGAGTGTGTCAGGGTGTACAGAGGATATCAGGGTGTATTGGAGTGTGTCAGGGTGTACAGAGGATATCAGGGTGTATTGGAGTGTGTCAGGGTGTACAGAGGATATCAGGGTGTATTGGAGTGTGTTTGGATGTACAGCGGTACTGGGACATATTAGGGTGTATAAGGGTGTGTCAGGGTGTATGGGAGTGTGTCAGGATGTATGGGAGTGTGCTTGATGAATTAGAGTGTGTTGAGGTGTATTGAAGAGTATCAGAATGTATTGGGATGTGTCTTGGTGTATAGAGTGTGTTTGGATATATTTGAATGTGTATCCAAGTGTGCTAGCATATGTAATAATGTTATGTAGATTGATTTATTTTTACCATCATCTTCCTGTTTTTAACTACAAATGCAATCAATAAAATCACATAAAAATTCCAGTAGACATCAGGAGGATTATTTTCTTAATCTAAACATAGTTTTGTGGTTTTGTCACAAGTCTAACTGAAATCTGTTTTGACCAGAAGTTATTTAGGGAATGTTGATCTCTTGGTATACATATGACCAAAGAAACATTGACAATACAGATATCTACAGCTGATGACCTTTCAAGTTCCCCGTCCAAGATTTTCAGATTAGTTTATCAGAATGGTTACATTATAAACAAAAGTTATATCAGATGCTTTGATTTTTTACTTATTTTATAATCTTCTTTTATTTTCATGTCAAAAATTCCAAAATTTTTCAACTCAAAATGCCAGACACTTCATACATTCTAAAACGGTGTTTCGTACTAAATGGTTGCTAATAAATGTTAACTATCATTGAATTAATATACCTGTCTATTAATTTAACGATTTGATCTCAGAATGAGTGACCTGTCAGTTTTTATAATATTCTTTTCATAGACTCTCAATGAATAAAAATGATGTATTAATGGTACCAGAATATCTTTGCAGGGTATTCAGGATAGTGTTACCATCAACAGCATTGTATTTACTGAGCCCACCATTTACTTGTGTCATAGTATACACTTTGGTGAGATTGAAATCACATATCAGTTCATATGTTAAGATATACTTGATGAAGACCTCCATGTCAAATAACTTGTTCCTGTGCTGAGGAATTGATGCTCGATGAAGACCTCCAATTTAAGGTACTTGTTCCTGTACTGAGGAATTGATGCTCGATGAAGACCTCCAATTTAAGGTACTTGTTACTGTACTGAGGAATTGATGCTCGATGAAGACCTCCCATTTAAGGTACTTGTTACTGTACTGAGGAATTGATGCTTGATGATGACCTCCATGTTGTGATACTTGTTACTATAATGACATGATGCTTGATGATGACCTCCATGTTGAGGTACTTGTTACTATAATGACATGATGCTTGATGATGACCTCCATGTTGAGGTACTTGTTACTATAATGACATGATGCTTGATGATGACCTGCATGTTGTGATACTTGTTACTATAATGACATGATTGTTGATGATGACCTCCATGTTGAGGTACTTGTTACTATAATGACATGATGCTTGATGATGACCTCCATGTTGAGGTACTTGTTACTATAATGACATGATGCTTGATGATGACCTCCATGTTGTGATACTTGTTACTATAATGACATGATTGTTGATGATGACCTCCATGTTGAGGTACTTGTTACTATAATGACATGATGCTTGGTGATGACCTCCTTGTTAAGGTACTTGTTACTATAATGACATGATTGTTGATGATGACCTGCATGTTGAGGTACTTGTTACTATAATGACATGATGCTTGGTGATGACCTCCTTGTTAAGGTACTTGTTACTATAATGACATGATGCTTGATGATGACCTCCATGTTGAGGTACTTGTTACTATAATGACATGATGCTTGATGATGACCTCCATGTTGAGGTACTTGTTACTATAATGACATGATGCTTGATGATGACCTCCATGTTGAGGTACTTGTTACTATAATGACATGATGCTTGATGATGACCTCCATGTTGAGGTACTTGTTACTATAATAATGATGCTTGATGATGCATGATGTTACTATAATGACTTGATGATGACCTCTATAATGACATGTTGACCTCCTTGTTAATACTTGTTACTATAATGACATGATGCTTGATGATGACCTGCATGTTACTATAATGACATGATGCTTGGTGATACTTGTTACTATAATGACATGATGCTTGATGATGACCTCCATGTTGAGGTACTTGTTACTATAATGACATGATGCTTGATGATGACCTCCATGTTGAGGTACTTGTTACTATAATGACATGATGCTTGATGATGACCTCCATGTTGTGATACTTGTTACTATAATGACATGATGCTTGATGATGACCTCCATGTTGAGGTACTTGTTACTATAATGACATGATGCTTGATGATGACCTCCATGTTACTATAATGACATGACTTGATTACCTCCATGTTGTGATACTTGTTACTATAATAATGATGCATGATGCTTGATGATGACCTCCATGTTGTGATACTTGTTACTATAATGACATGATGCTTGATGATGACCTCCATGTTGTGATACTTGTTACTATAATGACATGATGCTTGATGATGACCTCCATGTTGTGGTACTTGTTACTATAATGACATGATGCTTGATGATGACCTCCATGTTGAGGTACTTGTTACTATAATGACATGATGCTTGATGATGACCTCCATGTTAAGAAATAAAAGGAGGGCTATCTCACAAACAGAAGACCAATTCAAATGACTAAAAAGTTTTTTTATTCCTTTGATTAGTTTAAGATGGCAGTAAAATCTTTAAGTAACTGAAAGACAGTAGTAAATCTCTTTCTGTTGATTTCACCTTTATACTGCAAAGAAGTTTTATCCAATGGTTCAGATTTTCACTTGAAACAAAATGGATCTAGAATCATAGTTTTTCTTTTCGATTTACTATTTAAGAGATTTTTATTTTGCCCCTGAAAATAACAGCCTTTACAGTACTTTAAGAAGGGGCAACATTTACATTCTCCATATCAGTTATTAGAAACTTGTATATTGTACATCATATATCTGGATATGAATTCAGTCTCTTCAATGAAAGATAATGGCAAGACACTCCATCATTTAATGAGTTTCATTTTAAGATAATAGGTTAACAGCAAGAATTTATTTACCTTAGTGCAAAAAAAAAAAAAAAAGAAAATAGATAAATAAAATAAATATTTCCCACCAACAAGTCAACAGATTCAACATTTTATAATGTACCATTATAATGAAATGCATAAATGTGTATTTGGAAGAATATATATTTAACTATTCTGACAGAATTTTGAGATGAAATAATCGATATCGTCTCCTTAAATCCTGATAAACATAGTTAACATTAGGGTCTATAATAATGATAGCATGTCTGCTAAGGCTATGAAAACATATAGATAAATAACACGTCTGGTGGTGACCCTTGACATGCACCTATGTACAGGTGTGTTAAGGTTTTCACCCAGATAAATGAATTAACATAAAAAGGATGTCAGCACCTGCTGAAGTTGATACGAGTCTTCCATTTAACATGCTGGGCAGATATTGAAGAGTTCTCCCGATTGATTTGTTACTTCTTGTTCGTCCAGCTGTGTTACGTTTCATAATTTTTCATACCCTTTTGTGTTTAAGAAGTTTGTTTAAACATCTATGATTTTGCATTGATTTATAATACCCCTACACAACACAAGTGTACCATCACTGCTGAAATAAGACATATTATACATCTACCATACTATACAAGTTTATAAAATAACTGTTTTTACACCGTAACCACTTATTGACATCTGGCGGAATTGACTTCACAAATTATGGGTGTCGAAGATTCCCGAAAGCTACCGGAAAAAGTTAAAGTGCGAACAGGTAATCAAACTCGCCTATAAGTCGAACGTGCTCGGCGATAGCCATATAGAGAAGTGAAATTTGTCAAAATATAGAGACCTGTAAAATAATGTTGCCGGTGACTTTTAATTATTTGTGAGCTTAGAAAATAAGAAATACAGAATTTTCCCATAGAATTTTAATTGAATTTGAATGAATTCAGTTAACATGAAATTATCTGACTGCTTATCTATTAAAATTGTTTGGAAAATTTATGGAAAAACATACGTCAGAACTTTAGTTCTAGTTCATATACATCTACGTTAGTGTAACACCAAGTTTTGTACGTTTGTAATTGAAATTTAAAGTGAATAAACATTCTCCAACTGATACACATTGCCTTTTTACAAAATATACAGAATGAAACACCATGAACACATCTCTGGCTGGTCATTGTAATTAACTATCAGTTCTACATTTCAAGTATTATGTAGCCAGGCGTCCATGGTATTTTGATTGGTCGCTGTACCGCTGAGCTGGGTGTTTATGCTGTCTTTTAGCTTGATGTCCTCTCTGTTTTGATTGATTGCTGTTCTGGCATTGTCGGTGTTTGATTGGTCACTGTACCGCTGAGCTGGGTGTTTATATTGTCTTATAGCCTGATGTCCTCTCTGTTTTGATTGATTGCTGTTCAGGCATTGTCGGTGTTTGATTGGTCGCTGCAGCGTTGCGTTGGGCGCAGCTGTTTTAATTGGTCGTTTTGGCGTTGTGTTGGGCGCAGCTGTTGTTTTCTAGTTTGGTGTCCTCGTTATTTTGATTGGTCGCTGTATACTACTGAGCTTGGTGTTTCCGTTGTTTTATAGTCTAACGCCCTGTCTGTTTTGATTGGTCGATGTGACGTTGAGTTAGGCTCAGCTGTTTAAAGCATGGCGTGGTCGATGTGACGTTGAGTTAGGCTCAGCTGTTTAAAGCATGGCGTCCTCGTAATTTTGATTTGTCGATGTGCCGTTGAGCTGGGTGTGGCTGTTGTTGCTGGTATCACTGTTACTGCGGACGTGGTCGGTTGAGAAGTCGGTAGTGTACGCAAGGTTGTCGAAGGCACTCTCCATTATGTTACGGTAGTGCACACGGCCCTCCTGGAACTCGTCATACGCCGGGTCTGGCTTCCTAGTCCCCACAGCCGCCTACAACACGGAGTACTATCGTTTTAATCTGATGTTTCAAAACAAGGCAAATAATGTTTAAAAAAAAAGCTTACTCACGCACAAACGCATATAATATATATCCTTATATATGTAAATTAAAGATGCTTTGTGTGCCGACAAAATATTTGAAAAGAATGAAATAAACACGACAAATGTATTCCGCTAACGTTAGCGTCGTCGACATCTGTCGTGTTGATCTTATTCTTTTCAAATATATATAATATATATATATGGTGTGTGTTTACGCTTCTGTTTTATGTATATATATATATTTCCAAATAGGAGAAACACTTTGCGTGTCGTACATATAAATATAGAAACAGAATATTAACATGGCAACTAACTCAATGCAATAGCCTGAAGATAACCGCAAGGCTTGAAAACGTCAGTGAATTGGAATCGTAGCTTCCATGTTGATATTTTATTTATATATATATCAATGGGCTATCGGTTTTGACATAGATAAGAACAACTCACATGTTAAAAGTCCTAAAATAATGGTAGTACAACAAATAATTTAGGCATGCGACCTTCAATAGAAAAATATGTGGAATGCAACGGATTTTAAGACCATGATATAGAACACAATCACGCCGACCTTTGAATTAATCGACAACTATGTCGCTGTTTATGAGTGAAATCATTCGTGGTTTATTCAAGCTAAAACGGTGAATCGTGTGAACACACTTTAAAAAATGACAGCGTGCAGTTAAGTCTATCCAACCAGTAAAAATGGGTAAGGACACATACAATGTTTCCATAACCTTATAATAATTACTACGATATGCCCATTATAATTTATTGCCAATAGTGTCACGGTTCAGAATATGAACACGCATATAGCGTTCTTATATTGTAATATTGAAATCAATTTAATTAAATTAATTTTGGGGTGAGTGAACATCCCTTGTGGACAAATTTTGATTTTCTCTGTCGCCATCTAGACACGACGATCACTGACTAGCCTGAACAGGACGAAACAGCTGTGTGGCGTAGTTTTATTCATCGTTTTGCTATCCTACATTCAATACAATATTCACAAGTCTGACAACGATGGAATATACACCGAAGAGACTTTGTGCTCGATCTAAATGTAAGCATTTACTGATATCTGTCACCTGTAACTACATTGAAATGTTCCAAAGATACAATTTACAGAAATAGTTTTTGTAGTTTGGCCCCATAACGTTAAAACTCATTTAATTCTGATAATTGAATCTGGCTCAAACACAACCTAGTGATTTTTCGATTTTATTATAATAATTGATGACTAGTATGATCTATTTGTGTCGAACATCATTACCTGTACATTGTCTGTTTTGTTTTGGTTGCTTGTTCTCAGTTTCTTTACCACGCCTCTTCTCCTACAAAAGTAACCAGTATTTCCATCAGCAGGACCGTTTTATCATATTACTGCACATATAACTAAAACAGATGTAGATTTTTAATCAAATATTCAACATTCAGCATGGAACGTGTAGAAGTATCCCGATTTGTTGTGTAAAGCAGACACTTTTAGCTAGGTCTTGTTGAAGTATGTAAACTGAGAGAAATGAAGTCTGTCGCCGTAACTTGAGGAAGACGGTTGATAATATGTTATGAGATTGTATATCGATTTCCGACATATGCAGATTAGGATTGTACTATGCCTAAAAACCAAAATCAATCTCTTATGATTTTATCATCACAAACCTAGGTAAACTACGTTAAGAACAACTCTTTGTTGTCCAAGACGACACTAATTATATTGAAGGATTACGCTTATGAAAGTTGTTGGAATAGTTCACGCACCTAATACCATAAACACAAGACTGTACATATTCTACTCTGTAGTGAATCGTACCAGAAACCAAGCCGTTTCCAATGGAGTTATTCCTGGACACAGATTAAGAATTTCTCGGGCATCATTGCGACCCGAGATATAAAGTGGACGATATCTCAGCGTCAACTTGCTACCGAGTCCCCATTAAACCTTTGACGCGTTATAGTGTAAACCAACAAACCATATTGGAAAAGAATAAGCGGTCAAGTGATAAAAGCTGTTTGGAAAGACGAGTGGTTAAGAGAGGTCACTAGTCCAGGGATACCTAGAAACATAGGAAGAGGGACATCCGGAACGTCAGAACCCCAAGGGGAAGAGGACGAGATATCACTAACCCCGCTAAACCTCAGAACCCCAAGGGGAAGAGGACGAGATATCACTAACCCTGCTAAACTACAGAAACCTTCGAGGAAGGGCGAGATATTGCTAGCCCAAGTATAACTTAGAAAACTTTCAGGAAAGAAGAGGACGAGGTATTGCTAGCCAAGATATACCTTAGAAACCTCTGAGGACGAGATATCACTAGCCCAGATATACCTTAGAAACCTCTGAGGAAGAGGACGAGATATCACTAGCCCAGATATACCTTAGAAACCTCTGAGGAAGAGGACAAGATATCACTAGCCCAGATATACCTTAGAAACCTCTGAGGACGAGATATCACTAGCCCAGATATACCTTAGAAACCTCTGAGGAAGAGGACGAGATATCACTAGCCCAGATATACCTTAGAAACCTCTGAGGAAGAGGACGAGATATCTCTAGCCCAGATATACCTTAGAAACCTCTGAGGAAGAGGACGAGATATCGCTAGCCCAGATATACCTTAGAAACCTCTGAGGAAGAGGACGAGATATCACTAGCCCAGATATACCTTAGAAACCTCTGAGGAAAAGGACGAGATATCGCTAACCCAGATATACCTTAGAAACCTCTGAGGACGAGATATCACCAGCCCAGATATACCTTAGAAACCTCTGAGGAAGAGGACGAGATATCGCTAACCCAGATAGGAAGAGGACGAGATATCACTAGCCCAGATATACCTTAGAAACCTCTGAGGAAGAGGACGAGATATCACTAGCCCAGATATACCTTAGAAACCTCTGAGGAAGAGGACGAGATATCACTAGCCCAGATATACCTTAGAAACCTCTGAGGAAGAGGACGAGATATCACTAGCCCAGATATACCTTAGAAACCTCTGAGGAAGAGGACAAGATATCTCTAGCCCAGATATACCTTAGAAACCTCTGAGGACGAGATATCACTAGCCCAGATATACCTTAGAAACCTCTGAGGACGAGATATCGCTAACCCAGATATACCTTAGAAACCTCTGAGGAAGAGGACGAGATATCACTAGCCCAGATATACCTTAGAAACCTCTGAGGAAGAGGACGAGATATCACTAGCCCAGATATACCTTAGAAACCTCTGAGGAAGAGGACGAGATATCACTAGCCCAGATATACCTTAGAAACCTCTGAGGACGAGATATCACTAGCCCAGATATACCTTAGAAACCTCTGAGGAAGAGGACGAGATATCACTAGCCCAGATATACCTTAGAAACCTCTGAGGAAGAGGACGAGATATCACTAGCCCAGATATACCTTAGAAACCTCTGAGGACGAGATATCGCTAACCCAGATATACCTTAGAAACCTCTGAGGAAGAGGACGAGATATCACTAGCCCAGATATACCTTAGAAACCTCTGAGGAGAGAGGACTAGCCCAGATATCGCTAACCCAGATATACCTTAGAAACCTCTGAGGAAGAGGACGAGATATCGCTAACCCAGATATACCTTAGAAACCTCTGAGGAAGAGGACGAGATATCGCTAACCCAGATATACCTTAGAAACCTCTGAGGACGAGATATCGCTAACCCAGATATACCTTAGAAACCTCTGAGGAAGAGGACGAGATATCGCTAGCCCAGATATACCTTAGAAACCTCTGAGGAAGAGGACGCGATATCACTAGCCCAGATATACCTTAGAAACCTCTGAGGAAGAGGACGAGATATCGCTAGCCCAGATATACCTTAGAAACCTCTGAGGAAGAGGACGAGATATCGCTAGCCCAGATATACCTTAGAAACCTCTGAGGACGAGATATCGCTAGCCCAGATATACCTTAGAAACCTCTGAGGACGAGATATCGCTAGCCCAGATATACCTTAGAAACCTCTGAGGAAGAGGACGAGATATCGCTAGCCCAGATATACCTTAGAAACCTCTGAGGAAGAGGACGAGATATCACTAGCCCAGATATACCTTAGAAACCTCTGAGGAAGAGGACGAGATATCACTAGCCCAGATATACCTTAGAAACCTCTGAGGAAGAGGACGAGATATCACTAGCCCAGATATACCTTAGAAACCTCTGAGAAAGAGGACGAGATATCGCTAGCCCAGATATACCTTAGAAACCTCTGAGAAAGAGGACGAGATATCGCTAGCCCAGATATACCTTAGAAACCTCTGAGGAAGAGGACGAGATATCGCTAGCCCAGATATACCTTAGAAACCTCTGAGGAAGAGGACAAGATATCACTAGCCCAGATATACCTTAGAAACCTCTGAGGAAGAGGGAGATATCACTAGCCCAGGAAACTAGCCCAGAGGAAGAGGACGAGATATCACTAGCCCAGATATACCTTAGAAACCTCTGAGGAAGAGGACGAGATATCACTAGCCCAGATATACCTTAGAAACCTCTGAGGAAGAGGACGAGATATCGCTAGCCCAGATATACCTTAGAAACCTCTGAGGAAGAGGACGAGATATCACTAGCCCAGATATACCTTAGAAACCTCTGAGGAAGAGGACGAGATATCGCTAGCCCAGATATACCTTAGAAACCTCTGAGGAAGAGGACGAGATATCTCTAGCCCAGATATACCTTAGAAACCTCTGAGGAAGAGGACAAGATTTCGCTAGCCGAGATATACCTTAGAAACCTCTGAGGACGAGATATCACCAGCCCAGATATACCTTAGAAACCTCTGAGGAAGAGGACGAGATATCACTAGCCCAGATATACCTTAGAAACCTCTGAGGAAGAGGACGAGATATCGCTAGCCCAGATATACCTTAGAAACCTCTGAGGACGAGATATCACTAGCCCAGATATACCTTAGAAACCTCTGAGGAAGAGGACGAGATATCACTAGCCCAGATATACCTTAGAAACCTCTGAGGAAGAGGACGAGATATCACTAGCCCAGATATACCTTAGAAACCTCTGAGGAAGAGGACGAGATATCGCTAGCCCAGATATACCTTAGAAACCTCTGAGGAAGAGGACGAGATATCACTAGCCCAGATATACCTTAGAAACCTCTGAGGAAGAGGATCACTAGATATATATCACTAGCCCAGATATACCTTAGAAACCTCTGAGGAAGAGGACGAGATATCACTAGCCCAGATATACCTTAGAAACCTCTGAGGAAGAGGACGAGATATCACTAGCCCAGATATACCTTAGAAACCTCTGAGGAAGAGGACGAGATATCACTAGCCCAGATATACCTTAGAAACCTCTGAGGACGAGATATCACTAGCCCAGATATACCTTAGAAACCTCTGAGGAAGAGGACGAGATATCTCTAGCCAAGATATACCTTAGAAACCTCTGAGGAAGAGGACGCGATATCACTAGCCCAGATATACCTTAGAAACCTCTGAGGAAGAGGACGAGATATCACTAGCCCAGATATACCTTAGAAACCTCTGAGGAAGAGGACGAGATATCACTAGCCCAGATATACCTTAGAAACCTCTGAGGAAGAGGACGAGATATCACTAGCCCAGATATACCTTAGAAACCTCTGAGGAAGAGGACGAGATATCACTAGCCCAGATATACCTTAGAAACCTCTGAGGAAGAGAGGACTAGCCCAGATATATATGAGGAAGAGGACGAGATACTAGCCCAGATATACCTAGAAACCTCTGAGGAAGAGGACGAGATATCACTAGCCCAGATATACCTTAGAAACCTCTGAGGAAGAGGACGAGATATCAGATATACCTTAGAAACCTCTGAGGAAGAGGACGAGATATCACTAGCCCAGATATAGAGGACGAGATATCGCTAGCCCAGATATACCTTAGAAACCTCTGAGGAAAGATATACCTTAGACTGAGGAAGAGGACAAGATATCGCTAGAGATATCACCTAGCCCAGATATACCTTAGAAACCTCTGAGGAAGAGGACTGAGGAAGAGAGATATCACTAGCCCAGATATACCTTAGAAACCTCTGAGGACGAGATATCGCTAACCCAGATATACCTTAGAAACCTCTGAGGAAGAGGACGAGATATCTCTAGCCCAGATATACCTTAGAAACCTCTGAGGACGAGATATCACTAGCCCAGATATACCTTAGAAACCTCAGAGGAAGAGGACAAGATATCTCTAGCCCAGATATACCTTAGAAACCTCTGAGGACGAGATATCACTAGCCCAGATATACCTTAGAAACCTCAGAGGAAGCCCAGATATACCTTAGAAACCTCAAGATATCACTAGCCCAGATATACCTTAGAAACCTCTGAGGACGAGATATCACTAGCCCAGATATACCTTAGAAACCTCTGAGGAAGAGGACGAGATATCGCTAGCCCAGATATACCTTAGAAACCTCTGAGGAAGAGGACAAGATTTCGCTAGCCGAGATATACCTTAGAAACCTCTGAGGAAGAGGACGAGATATCACTAGCCCAGATATACCTTAGAAACCTCTGAGGAAGAGAACGAGATATCACTAGCCCAGATATACCTTAGAAACCTCTGAGGACGAGATATCACCAGCCCAGATATACCTTAGAAACCTCTGAGGAAGAGAACGCGATATCACTAGCCCAGATATACCTTAGAAACCTCTGAGGACGAGATATCACCAGCCCAGATATACCTTAGAAACCTCTGAGGAAGAGGACGGAAGAGAACAGGAAGAGGACGAGATATCACTAGCCCAGATATACCTTAGAAACCTCTGAGGACGAGATATCACTAGCCCAGATATACCTTAGAAACCTCTGAGGACGAGATATCACTAGCCCAGATATACCTTAGAAACCTCTGAGGAAGAGGACGAGATATCACTAGGCCAGATATACCTTAGAAACCTCTGAGGAAGAGGAAAGAGCTCAGTCCAGGTATACCCCAGATCCCGAAACTAGAAGCCTTGGCTGAAAGTGATTAAATATAGGGTAGGAGAGGAGAAAATCAGCCAGTCATCATTAATTTAGTTGTAGAAAAGTTCCTCTTCTCAACAAACTCCTGTTGGATATTGCAGTTAGTTTTCATCAATTTCCAATGATACGTTTTGGTAAGCGAGCATTTATGTGGATAAGTTTCGGATTTCATAACAACTCATAGACATATTGCATTTCTACATTTTTATGTACAAATCGACCAACGTTCTGGTCTGCAGATAGAAACACAAGCTGAATTGATCATATCTTACTGTAGGGTGACGCGCATCGTCGCGAACACCTGTGATTGTAAGCTTTCAGATTAATATTTGTCCACGGATAGGAATGATAGGATTTCGAGAAAAGAGTATTGCAAACCAAAAACTTATAAACCATAGAAAATAAATAAATAAATAAATAAAAAACAAACTTTTGTGATAGTGTCAACTAAAGACGACAAAATATTGAACTTAAATTCTAGTGAACTCCAGAAATGGGGGAAATGCCTCTACTGGGGGAATTTTAAGATTGTCATATTGAAGTTGAAACCATTGTCAGAGATTGGAAATAAGTTTTTATTTTATCACAGTGTAGGTAAACATCAAACATTTCGACAATGTGAAAACGGCCAAGTGTTGTTTTACGTCAGAATATGACTTTAAGTGGACTCCAGATAGAGTTTGCAGAAGAAATGTTTGGAAAGTTTTTTTTTCAATGGCAATACTAAAGTTCAAAATTATTTTTTAATATCTGAAACAACTATGACAGCATTTCAATTACACAATCACACACAAATAAATAAAGAAAGAAAGTGTTTATCTAAATGTGATGTAATACCGACGTGTTGCTTATAGCCAGAAATACAGAACACCTATATATTAGCAGGTGTGTAAAGGTAGTGATTTGATACACGTTTATTAGGATGTAAGGATCTAACATATTGCCATTTCTTAGCGATGACAAATATCTTTTTGAGACTCATTAGTCAAATTGATGAAAAAAAAACACGTGTAATATTTAACTGGAGAGATAATGTATATCAACTGGTGAGTGAGAAGTTACAATTATACCAACTCTATATAATAAAAACATGCTACTCCACAGTAGCACATCTAAAGTGAAGTAATTGGGCCGTTCGATTCTTACCTACACCAACATACGACGGCCAAGATTATTGTCAGTAGTAAACATCCACTTAAAACACAGATGGCGATGCACGACGATCCACATAGCTCGGGTGTCTGACTAGCGGTCGGGGAGACAACACACCTGAATGCTATCTGTCCTGCCTCATTATCTGTTAGTCCCTTTTGTTTTGCAACTTCCCACAGAAGGCCCTTCTTCCAGGGAGGTGGGCACGGGGCGAATTGTAGCAGATCAGCTGCTAGAAACGAAGATTCATCCGTACATAATTGTACATATGTTGTGTTACACCTTGTCCCGACCCCCGGGTCACTTGTCTCTATCCCCGGGACAACCGTCGAAGTGTTGACACCAACATCCATCTACACCCAAGACATCGCGATATGTCTGGGAGATATTTACATATTCAGCCGGAGTGACAGTGTTGGGATACCTATTTACTGCTCCGCATATACACCATCCATAATATATAAAGCCGTACTTCTCGTTTCACCCACCTGGTCACGTGCTCTTCAGACTAAGTTTGCTGGTGATTGCAATACTCTACAACACCCGTATTTCCTATCGATTTTCATCTTTATGTCGATCCACAAACATGGCAGTGAAATTAACTATGCTTAATATAGCTTATGGCAGCCGTTGAAGCGTGACCCTAGTGGCTATTTAGCACATGATAAACGTCTGTTGTGGAAACGATATGTTTTTCATAACAACAAATTTATTGTCATTTAATTTCTTTCCAACGTTTTCCGTCTGATATCGTGACAAGTCAATCAATGAGATACAAATACGGAACCTGATGGTTCTACGTACCTCATTGTCGTTGTAGCATGCCTTAATCACGACGGCAAACCCTCCTTACCATCTTTCTTCCCCGAGCATTTACTGAACAGTTATCATTTTCGTCTCCATTGCTATGATACTGCATTGTTAACCATGACCCTATGAACAATTGTTTTATACCATAGTCGTCTTTCCTACATATGTACGTTCACAAAAGAAATGCTAATAGGAGCACCGGAAATACTTGCCTTGACTTCGGTTTACTCGGTCAGTTTTTTTGTTTCCTTCGGACTACAGAAGTCTTTACTCCAATTAGACTATCGACAGTTAATCCGAAATCTTTGAAATATTGAGAGTTATACTTAAGTCTTTACTACGTTTGGACTATCGACAGGTACACCGAGGTATTTACTCCGTTTGGACTATCGACAGTTATACCAAAGTCTTGACTCCGTTTGGACTATCGACAGTTATACCGAGGTCTTTACTCCGTTTGGACTATCGACAGTTATACCGAGGTCTTTACTCCGTTTGGACTATCGACAGTTATACCTAAGTCTTTACTCCGTTTGGACTACCGACAGGTATACCGAAGTCTTTACTACGTTTGGACTATCGACAGTTATACCTAAGTCTACGTTTGGACTATCGACAGGTATACCGATGTCTTTACTCCGTTTGGACTATCGACAATTATACCGAAGTCTTTACTCCGTTTGGACTATCGACAGTTATACCGAGGTCTTTACTCCGTTTGGACTATCGACAGTTATACCTAAGTCTTTACTCCGTTTGGACTATCGACAGTTATACCTAAGTCTTTACTCCGTTTGGACTATCGACAGTTATACCGATGTCTTTACTCCGCTTGGACTATCGACAATTATACCGAGGTCTTTACTCCGTTTGGACTATCGACAGTTATACCTAAGTCTTTACTCCGTTTGGACTATCGACAGTTATACCGAGGTCTTTACTCCGTTTGGACTATACCGTCTTTACTCCGTTTACTATCGACAGTTATACCGAGTCTTTACTCCGTTTGGACTATCGACAGTTACGTTTGGACTATCGACAATTATACCGAAGTCTTTACTCCGTTTGGACTATCGACAATTATACCGAGGTCTTTACTCCGTTTGGACTATCGACAATTATACCGAGGTCTTTACTACGTTTGGACTATCGACAGTTATACCTAAGTCTTTACTACGTTTGGACTATCGACAGTTATACCGAGGTCTTTACTACGTTTAGACTATCGACAATTATACCGATGTCTTTACTCCGTTTGGACTATCGACAATTATACCGAGGTCTTTACTCCGTTTGGACTATCGACAATTATACCGAGGTCTTTACTACGTTTGGACTATCGACAATTATACCGAGGTCTTTACTCCGTTTGGACTATCGACAGTTATACCGAGGTCTTTACTACGTTTGGACTATCGACAATTATACCGAAGTCTTTACTCCGTTTGGACTATCGACAGTTATACCGAGGTCTTTACTCCGTTTGGACTATCGACAATTATACCGAGGTCTTTACTCCGTTTGGACTATCGACAATTATACCGATGTCTTTACTCCGTTTGGACTATCGACAATTATACCGATGTCTTTACTCCGTTTGGACTATCGACAGTTATACCGAGGTCTTTACTACGTTTAGACTATCGACAGTTATACCGAGGTCTTTACTACGTTTGGACTATCGACAGGTATACCGATGTCTTTACTCCGTTTGGACTATCGACAATTATACCGAGGTCTTTACTCCGTTTGGACTATCGACAATTATACCGAGGTCTTTACTACGTTTGGACTATCGACAATTATACCGAGGTCTTTACTCCGTTTGGACTATCGACAATTATACCGAGGTCTTTACTCCGTTTGGACTATCGACAGTTATACCGAGGTCTTTACTACGTTTGGACTATCGATAGTTATACCGAGGTCTTTACTCCGTTTGGACTATCGACAGGTACACCGAGGTATTTACTCCGTTTGGACTATCGACAGTTATACCGAGGTCTTTACTACGTTTAGACTATCGACAGTTATACCGAGGTCTTTACTACGTTTGGACTATCGACAGTTATACCGAGGTCTTTACTCCGTTTGGACTATCGACAGTTATACCTAAGTCTTTACTCCGTTTGGACTATCGACAGTTATACCGAGGTCTTTACTACGTTTGGACTATCGACAGGTACACCGAGGTATTTACTCCGTTTGGACTATCGACAGTTATACCAAAGTCTTGACTCCGTTTGGACTATCGACAGTTAATTCGTTAATGACTGTTATCTATGAATCTATCCAAAATCTTAGCATCTAACGATATATTAATGTCTTGAATGATAAAATTGTAAAGTTTGGAGTTTTTCATCCCGTATAAAATCATAGTTCGATACTTCAAATGAATGAATCACACTGCAAAATTAGGATAAATATATCTTTAGTATTTGTACCTGGCCAATTTCTAATTCCTTAGTTTTAACTCTGTTATACAGACCTACTTGTGTTTTCTACTCTACTCTTTTTACCAGTTGTAATTACAACAGTTATATCAATGTTTCTACTCCCTAACACTTTAATCAAACTCCAGATTACATCGCGGACACATAGTTAGCAATGTCCTTTCAAAGGATGCAGTGTTAACTGACCGCTTTGTCACCTTTTGATATTGGTCCAGGAAAGTCATGTGATGAGGGAAATGGAAACACAAACATCTGGTTAACATTTACAAGCAAAATTTTCAACATTTAAGGAGGATGTTTTTGAGACACACAGAACCATCTGCCTATCATTATATATGGTATTAACCTTGATACGATTTTTGAAAGAAGCATATGTGATAAGATGTCAGTATTTTCGCTTATGTTTTTTCCATCTTTTTATCAAACTTACTTCCTAATGGTTGCATGTTAGTCTTGTGTTTTTAAAGTACGTTTCTCTGTCGCAATAATAGCTGCACAAGTTCATGGTCTTGAAAATATGTATGTGATGTCGAATCTTGTACACTGTTTGTTACAAAATATAATTAAAATATAGGCTGTCAGAAAGTTTTATTATTAAAAACTATCATTAGACATCCCAAATTTTATCTAAAGTGGTTATAATGAAAGCTACATTATATGCCACTCCCAATAGAAAAATGATAATATATATAATAAATAGAATAGATCTGTTTAAAACATGTCTAAATACCTAGGATATGAATAAACACAGTAAGTCATAATAACTACAAAATGTCAGCAGCAATAACTGCCCTAGACAATGAATATGTCACATCAGGTTTATATAAAATAATATTGGATATCAAAAATGCCACAAAATTATCACAACAGGAGACCTGTAGGGCTTACCTGGTTTACTTTGCTGAAATTGCTTCATCTAAGTAATGGAAAGGTATTTGTGTCTATTTCCCCTATAATGGCCCTGCCCCTCTGCCTCAAGGGGGTCAGAGGCACCATTATACAAAACTGTGTTCCCTTCACTTCAAGACGCTTCAGACCAAATCTGAACAAGAGGCCCATGGGCCTTAACGGTCATCTGACAAAATGCAAGCCAAACTCTAACAAGAGTGAGTCTGCCGTTAAAACAGTGGGCTTTATTCATTTGAATAAACTTGGTAGCCCTTCCTCCCAGCATCCTACAGGCCCAATATCAGCACTCTGAGCCTTTTGGTTACTGAGAAGAAGTCGTTTACAGATTTTAACATATTTGAACCCTGTGATCTTGAAAGTGGGTCAAGGTAATTCACTTGAACACATTTGGTAACACTTCCTCAAAGCATCCTACAGGCCCAATATCAGCATTCTAACCATTTTGGTTATTGAGAAGTCATTTGTATATTTTAACATATTTAACCCCTGTGACCTTGAAAGTGGGTCAAGGTCATTCATTTGAACAAATTTAGTAGCATGTCATCCCAGCATCCTACAGGTCCATTATCAGCACTCTTGGACTTTTGCTTATTGAGAAGAAGTCGTTTAAAAATTTCAACATATTTGACCCCTGTGACCTTGAAAGTGGGTCGAGGTCATTCCTTTGAACAAACTTGGTAGCCTTTCCTCCAAGCATCCTACAGGTCCAATATCAGCACTCTTGGACTTTTGCTTATTGAGAAGAAGTTGTTTGTATATTTTAACAAATTTGACCCCTGTGATCTTGAAAGTGGGTCAAGGTCATTCATTTGAACAAACTTGGTAACCCTTCATCCCAGCATGCTACAGACCCAATATCAGCACTCTTGGACTTTTGCTTATTGAGAAGAAGTTGTTTGTATATTTTAATATGTTTGACCCCTGTGACCTTGAAAGTGGGTCAAGGTCATTAATTTAACAAACTTTGTAGGGCTCCATGCCAGCATGCTACGGGCCAAGTATTAGCCCCCTAGGCCTTCTAGTATTTGAGAAGAAGCTATTTGAATGAAAAGTTTACGGATGACGCACGGTGGACGACCGCGGACAAAGCACGATGGCTATAGGTCATCTCGACCCAAAAAAACCATTCCTACAGAAGAAGAAAGATTTCAAAGAGTTTGAAAAATCCCCCCTTTCGATGC